TTCGCATCTAAATACTCATAGCCTCACTGAAATAAAAGATCGAATAAAATTACAACTGAAAGGAGTTTTGTCAAATGGGATTGCCAATTACAAAAACCTAACTGATGATGATGATTACATTGTATTTTGTAATTGGATTTTTTAACACACTGTTTTTTTTTTAATTTAAAAATGGTTGTGTTTTTAACTATTATTTAACTTAATTCGTGATTGGTTTTTATTTATTTATTTATTAGATATAATGTTAAGGTCAAAGACCATACTGGTTCAATAAATCTCATTGTTCAAGATAAACGGGCAGAGTTTATCTTGCGATGTCAACCATCATATTTGAAGAATATAAGATCAAAGGTAGCAAACTATACAATTTATTATAAATAATTTATTCCTACATTTTCAAACACAATGTTATAATTTCAAAACTTTACAAGATAATGGAGTTAGAATGATTGAAAATTATATTGTGTCATGCCAAGATCGTACCTATACATTTATCATACCTGTATCAACAATACAACGTCAACTAGATTGTGCACTGTGCGTGATCTTTGTTTTAAATAAAGATTGATCTGAAAAATATCTACACCTTTTAGAAGGTAAATATATATATGTATAATATGTAAGTATAATATTTTTATTTTATAACATTTTATAAATACATAATATATGTGTTTTTTATCAATTATAATACTATCATGTTGATAATGCAAAAATGCTGATAGAAGACTCACAACAATTTAGATTTTAGTTATAATATATTTTATTTATTCAGTGAATTTCGAACAAATGTAATAAGTTTTTATTTTTACTATAATTATGAAATGTCAACATTTTCTTTCAAAATTATGTATAGTTTATGCTAATAATTTAAAAATATATTTGACATAACTATAAATAGTTTTTTTGAAATTCAATCATGTGCATAGCACAGCACGGGTGATATGCTAGTAGTTAACTATTGTAATTAATCTATTCTGGAATATGGAAATATGTATTAAGGCCAAGTTTGGGAAGACTAAAAAAGTGTACTTTTTGTCTTTTTGGACTAAAAAATTGAGGTTGAAAATATGGATGTTTGGGTTAACTTTTTGACTTTTTATTGAAAAATGTGTAATAAAAAATTGTAAAAATTGATTTGTAGGGAAAAATTTGAATTGGGAGTTGTGCAGCCGTAATTGTTGACTTTTGGTTAATAGTGTTAACTTTTTAACTTTTTGAGTAACTTTTTGACTTTTTGGCTTTTTTGGGAGTACCCAAACTTAGCCCTAGATAACTTGAAGTTTTAAAAATAAATTTTTATCCATCACCGACAACACTTTTTCTACCAAGGACTTGACTTTTCCAGAAACACATGACTTTAAATTATTTTTAAAGTTCCAAAAATGCCCTCAAGTTATAATAAAGTTTAATTTAAAATGGCATTAGGTAACTTGTAGTTTAAAAAAATGAAACTGTAAATAGTTTTTTACACATTACCAAATGGGCCTACTTTTGGGTCTCGTTTCGATAATTTGAACCGTTCACATTTTAAGATTCATCGATTATATTAATATGATAAAAAATTAAGTCGATTGGATAACGAAAATCACATGTTCGAATCAATTTTGTATGATTTTTTTTATTTTCTTACCGTTCTATTTCTTTCATACAAAACTGACCCAAACATATGATTGCCGTTATTTGATCGATTTGATTTTTTGTAGAGAGATTAAACTCAACAAATTCTAAAATATAAACGGTTCAAATCATCGAAATGAGACTTAAAAGTGAATTCACAAGGCTCAATAGTATCTCTCTAATCTGATGGAAGATTGAAGAGAAGCCATAACCTTTTAGAATCTTTACAAATTTGTGTAAAGATAATCATCTACAATAGTTTGAAAATTTACGGAGTGTCTCTTTTGGGCTATGTTAATAAGAGTTTCACAACATTGGCTATGTTTATAAGAGTTTCACAACATTAAAAGGATAATAAGATAATTTCATATAAAAAACAAAAGTTTAAAAAGGTTCTAAAAACTTTTTCCATACCCAAAAAAAAATTAAATTACTAAACACATCAGTTATTTAAAATTCTAAAAAAATATCAAAAAAGCAAAATACTTCTAAAAAAGTAATTATCAAATCTCCCCTAAGTATTCTCTATAATTTTTTTATAAGATTAGATTATGGGTGACACAATTTAAGTCACATGTAAAAGACAAACATCATGTATTAAATGACAGAAATATTCAGTAAAGATAAGAATCTCATTATTAGTAATAAATTTTTGTGCTAATATTATTCTAGGGTTTGGTTTCGTTAGGAATCTCAATGACAAAATAATAAAATTAGAAATATTACGAATTCAATTATTTTTTTACTCTTAAAAGGGTTAATTTTTTTCCGGAATGTAATATTTCTGTAGAGTAGGAGAATCGGATTTTCACTTAATTTGGAAATGTAATTCTTATTGCAATAGAGAATAAAAAATTTGGTGGTGCTACATATACCAATTAGTATACTAATTAGTGTACCGATATAGTTATAATATTGTCATTTTAAAACTATGACTCCATCCATTATTTAAATTATAAAGACTAGTCTCTAGAATTATACCACATCATCCGTTAATATACTAATTGATATATCAATTGATACATATAATATTATTTTAAATAATTACTTTACCATTGCAATTTGTTCTAAACACTGAAATTATAGACCCACAATCACATCAGCTTGCTTGGTTAGGTTTTTCAAAAAACACTTTTTAGAAAATTCTACTTTCTTATTTTTCGAATTTTTTTATTTTTACCAAATTTTTTTAATATTGTAAGAATTTTTTTTTTTACTTTTTAGACAGCTAACATAAATATATCTAAAAAGTAAAAAAAACAAGAAAACTAAAAAATTCAATTTTCAAAAAATTTAATTTAAAAAACTCAAACCAAACACATTTTAATTTTGCAAGAGGAAGGAAACTTCGCATTCCCATATATCAGTTTAAAAGCCATATTAAACAAATTTAAAATGGCGAAGTGGCTCCGTAATTGCCTAACTTTTGTGTCATCCAGTCTTTTTTACAGGAAAGGTTTTAGATTTATTCTTAAGAATGGAATGTGAGGTAAGATTTTTTATAAGATATATAGATGTGAATTTTAACTCATTTAATATATTAATTTAATATTTAACTATTAACTTTTTCGAATATTAAAAAAAAAAAAAAAATTGGTAATAGGTAGCAGCCATACTTTTGAAGTCATCCCCCACCACAAACAGTGCAAAGAAGAGACTTTCCGTTCCACCCACCGATGTGGGGACCCTACCCACAAGAGAGCTGGTCTTACAAGGCACCCCACCATGGTCAAACAATGTAAAAAATTAGTAGGATGATATAAATAAATATTTTTTTTTTTAATTTTTTATGAAAAGATGTATAAAATAATTGAAAGGTATTGTGATCTAAAATAGATAAAAAGATTAAAAAAAATATGCTTATATAACACACCTCAAACAAGGTTTCAACAAATACAAAAAAAAAAACAAAAAACAAAAACAAGATGAAAATAAATATGTATTGAATTTTGGTATTTGTTTTTATATTTAATGGGTTTTTTTTTTAAATTAATAAATATTTTAATTTTTAAATACATCAAAAACAACTCAAAAAATATATTTAAAAATTCAAAACCAAATAGAACAATTAATTTTTTTCTTAGATGATAAAAGTTATCGAGACGGATGATTATTAAATTCCCTAATCCTAATCCATATGTATTAAAAATTTACTTAAAATATTTAATTTAACATAAATTGTAGTTTTATTTTAAGTTAAAATTCGATTCATAATTTTTATTTTATTGAGATTTTCTTCTTTTTTTTTTGGTTGTAAAAATAATAAATAAGTTCACCAAGGTGAGGCAGAGACATGCATGAGGGACTAGACCACCAGCAAAATAGCGATCAGCTTGTTTGGTTTGTAACTCAGAATTCACTTTTCAAAAAATTAAAATTTTTATTTTTCGTATTTTTTTTATTTTTACTTAATTTTTTTAATATTTTGAGTAATTTTTTAAATTTTTAGATACACTTAATATAAATACACTTAAAAGGTAAAATATTTGTGAAAATACCAAATATATATATATATATATAAATTCAGTACATTTTTCATATTGTTGCGTATTTATTGATTTTTTAAAATATTTTTTTATAAATATTTTACTTTTTAAATATATTTAAGTAAAGTACATTTAAAAAAATAAAAACAATTACTTAAAATTTAAAAAATATTCACTCAAAAATTAAAAAATTAAATCCAAACACCGATTGCCATCCCATTTCGACGAAACCTGCATGTTGGGTAGGGGTACAATTCAAGTAAGTGACCTCATTATTTTCAACTATCCTATTTCTTTCTTTCCTTACTGCTCCACTTCAAGCCACTATAAATTGAACACCAAACTCCACACTCGAACATAACAAAACATACAACTTGATTGAGTGAGAGAGAAAGAGATAAGCAGAGAGAGAGAGAGAGAGAAGCAGAGAGAGAAGCAAAGAGAGACATGGAGGCCTTCCCACTTATCAACATGGAGAAGCTAAATGGTGAAGAGAGGGGAGCCACCATGGAGCTTATCAAAGATGCTTGTGAGAATTGGGGATTCTTTGAGGTAAACTAGTAATTTCTTTCACTTCATGCTTATGCTTTACACATTGGTCCTATAAATCTAAAAAGAAAAACCTAGTGCACGAGACTCCAACTAATGCAGGTCTGGGAGGTTTACCTTTATTTTTGAAAAGATTGTTTTTGGCTCAAATTTGTTCCAACAAAAACGCTAAGGACAAGTCTTATTTTTAAACCAAACCAGGTTCTATAAATATAATATTTTTTTAATATATTTTAAACTTTGTGTCATTGTAGTTGGTGAACCATGGAATTTCACATGAGCTAATGGACACAATGGAGAGGATGACAAAGGAGCACTACAGGAGGTTTAGGGAGCAGAGGTTCAAGGAGCTGGTGGCTAGCAAGGCTCTTGAGGGTGCCCAAGCTGAGGTTACCGACATGGACTGGGAGAGCACCTTCTTCTTGCGCCATCTCCCTCAATCCAACATTTCTGAAGTACCTGATCTTAACGATGAATATAGGTAAACAAACATCAAAATCATTAGTGCTAAAATTTCACCAAAAAAGAGTTTAAAATATAGTGTGGCAACACTACATTCATCCCCATCTAGAATGAATGCAGTGCCGTCAACACAGTATTCTGAACACTTTTCTGAAACAAATTACGAGTAAATAGTATTTTTCTTATAGAGTAAAGCAAGACTGACTCAATAAATTGAACTTTGTTCAGTTATACTTTTAAAATCATTAATTCTCTGTTTGATTGATGCAGGAAGGTTATGAAGGAATTTGCTTTGAAATTAGAGGAACTAGCAGAGGAGCTCTTGGATTTGCTATGTGAGAATCTTGGACTAGAGAAAGGCTACCTAAAGAAGGCCTTCCATGGAACAAAGGGTCCAAACTTTGGCACCAAGGTTAGCAACTACCCACCCTGTCCCAAGCCAGACATGATCAAGGGGCTCCGAGCCCACACTGACGCTGGTGGCATCATCTTACTCTTCCAAGACGACACGGTCAGCGGTCTCCAGCTCCTCAAGGATGACCAGTGGATCGATGTTCCTCCGATGCGCCATTCCATTGTGATCAACCTTGGTGATCAACTAGAGGTATACTAATAGAATCTAAGCTGTTGTGTTAAGATCCCTAGCTCAAATTTTACAATAACAATACAAACACATAAATTTCACCAGGACGAATGCACTACTGCCACCACTGCATTTTGTCCTATCTAATAAGGATTCTAGAGTAGTTAAACAAATACAAGCAACCACCAGTGGCAAATACAAGAGCATATTAAAGCTGTTGTATTAGATCCCTAACTCAAATTTTACAATAACAATACAAGCACATAAATTTCATAGCACTGCATTCCGTGCATTTTTCTGTGAAAATTTTGTAATGAGAATTCTAAGTTTTTTTTATAATAAATACAATTAATCGCAAATGGAAAATATAATAGTGTACCTAAGGTGTTCTATTAGATCCCTAGCTCAAACTTTACAATAACAATACAAACACCGAAATTTCACCAGACGATAACACTGCATTCTATGCACTTTTCTATATTTTTTTTGAAATGAGGATTCTAAAGGAGTTCATAACAAATACAGGTAATCACCAATGGCAAATACAAGAGTGTGCTTCACAGAGTGATCGCCAAAACAGACGGAAACCGGATGTCAATAGCTTCGTTCTACAACCCTGGCAACGATGCTGTCATCTTTCCAGCACCGGCACTGGTGGAGAAATTAGAAGAAGAGGAAAAGAAGGAAGTGTACCCAAAATTCGTGTTTGATGACTACATGAAGCTCTATGCTGGGTTGAAGTTCCAAGCCAAGGAGCCAAGGTTCGAGGCCATGAAAGCCATGGAAGCTAATGTTGGCCTAGACACTGTTGCAACAGCTTATTAAGATTCTATTATAAAGATCAAAATTGAATTTTGTTGTATTTTTTGCTGGGTTATGACTAGAAGTCATAGCTTAGTGCTATATTGGTTTACTATTTCTAATAAAAGGTAAAACAAAGAGAATATATTGATTGAATAATCATAGCCGTGCCATTTATCCAATTTACAATGTGTTAATCAAATAGCAGAACTTAGAGAAAAGTTAAAGAAATCATAAAAACTGGCAATAGAAATTGAAAGAGCTCATAAAAAACCAGATTTGATCACTATCTAGAGAGAGTTGACATATTTGAATGGAAATTGCTTCAATGGTTAGAGGAGAAAGGAAAAATGAGACTATAAAGGAAAAAACTCAAGTGGATGGCAATAAGAGAGGATGCATATGCTGGATGAATTACTTGAATGGTAAGGTTGTGCTTGGATCATAAATTTTGGTAGGAATTTGTGGAGAGAAAGAAAATGTAGAGGAAATGTGAACATTCTCTTTCTCTACACAAATCTATATCCAAATTCATGATCCAAATATGGCCTAAAGATTTACAAATAGGCGATAAAATTTCCCCAACTTGAAGTTTAGCTAGCAACATAGAGAATCTTTTCCTAAGCCAATGTGTTTAATTGAGAGCAATGAGCGCGTGGGTGAGAGTGGGATCACGCGCCGTCTGCCTGATCGGCGCGTGGTGGCGCGTGGAGAGACTGGGACTCACGCGCCAACTTCCAGGGGCGCGTTAGAGCGCGTCCCGACTCCGTTGTTTGTGTGCTTTATGTTTCTGGACTTCTCTCGTCGAGCCCTTGCTCCTAGTATGCTCAAAATCTGATTTCGAGCAATACGATTTCTGGGCAGTTTCGAAACAACGCTCTGTTTTTCCGAAAAACGTACAACTTGGCTCTGATACCACTTTGTTAGGATGAAAGACACCCAGAGAATTATCTCACACACACAGAGAACACAATATTTACGTGGTTCGGCCCAATGCCTACATCCACGGACAGAAATGAGAATTATCACTAAAATGGAGCAAAAATACAAATACAGAGGAGGAGATGAAACTCACTCAACTCACAGCTCTCACACTCAATTTCTGATGGTTCTCTCTCTATATATTTCAACTCTCCCCTCAACCTCTATTTATACACCAATGAGGGAGAGCCTCATTGGTCACCACCTACCTTCTTCCACTCTCTAATGGGGTTGGTAGAGTGGGAGAGCCACTTCCATTGGGTGGAGAAAGTGGGTTCTCCAATGGGAGCTCACATGGGATGATCCAACAAAGCCAACAAGAATAACAAGGTAAATTTATGTCTTATCATTTCAATGTAGCCTATTGATTAAAAAATGCAACTCCTACATTATTTTAGTTGAATATTTTGTATCAAAATTTGGGAATAATAGGATTTTCCTTAGGTGGAACCAATTTTCTACTTAAAAACCAGTGCTTTCAGTTTTGATTAGGTTGCATCTCCTCAACTGATGGGTGGTGCGAGGATGAGTGTAATGCTGTACAAATAAAAAAGTTAAACCTAAAAGATAACTCTTAATTAATTTAAAAATAAAAAAATAAATAACATTACCAAGAGCTATAGCAATGTATCAAATTGTATGTCCTCTACTTGTTTCCTGAAAAATAAAAAATAAGGAAAAGCTTTTCAAATCTACTCCAAACACAGATTACCAATAAGGTAGTACATTAGGGTAAGGATTTGTTAAAGTCATCAATCAAGCAGCGATGTACAGCCAATATTTTTTAGTCCTAGAATTTAACATTTTGTGAAAATTTGAAACTATTAGTTGGTAAGTGTTATTCTAGGAATTATATGTGCAAAAATCAATATCATAAAACAATTGTAGCTATCTTGTTTTGTACAAATATATTGGCCAATAAGATGCTTTAAGAAACATTTTTATTTGAAAAATAATAATGATTGAAGAATCAAATGGTTAAAGTTCTTCAAATTTCGCTTTCTGAATATTTTATAACTAATACATGTAATGAAATTCAATGTAATTGTAGGTCAAGGGCAGACTAACGTAGCGATGAGTGGGGATAATTGCCCCCACTAGATTTTGAAAGGTTTTGCTTATATTATATGTAATTGTTTCAAAAATTGCTGCAACTGGAGCAAAAATAATATTTTGGGGGGAAAGTTACGTTTTTTATCAAATACTATTAAAAAATATTATTAATTTTTAATTTTTAATGACAGTTTAAAAATTTTGTTATAAAAAATATCACTAATTATAAGTTTTAATAATAGTTTAAAAAATTATCTCAAAAAAATTTACTAATTTTTAACTTTCAACGACTATTTAAAAAAATTATCACAAAAAAGTTACTAATTGTAAGTTTTAGCAACAATTTATAAAAATCGTGACAAAAAAGTCACTAATTATCAATTTTTAACGACATATGCAAAAAATCATCACAAAAAATTTATTTTTAATGACGATTTTATTAGGACTTATTTTTAATAGGACTTTATAATAATAAAGTCCAATAATTAAAACTTATGGGTAATTTACCATTTTTTTCCTATTATTTTCAATACATTCTCTTTGTTCTGTCTATAAAATATACTTAACTTGTTAGGTTTTTATTCTTGACAATCCCGTTTGACAAAACTCCTTTAAGTTGTATTTGTTTTCGCACTTTTTATTTCAGTGAGGCTATGAGTGTTTAGATGCAAATCCAACCTGAATTGTGCCTTGCAGAAAAGCTTTTGTGATGTTAATGCTTTCAAGATTGCTACTTCGCTGATTATGACGGGGGTTGAGCTACCCAGTCAGCTCGCGGGGTTGAGGGGCAGCGCCCCGAAACAAAATGCAAAAATGCATTCAAAGTTGCCTCCCCGCTTGAGCATCCATTAATGCATTCAAAGTTGCCTCTCCGCTCGAGCGTCCATTCCCCCCGCTCGAGAGGAGAATGCTGAATTTCAGAAGTTTGGTGAGTCTGCAAATATACTGTGATCCGTGTTTTCACGCTCGAGCATCCATTTCTCCGCTCAAGCGTACACCCTAGTGCGGAACACGTCATATAGAGTCCCCGCTCGAGCGTCAATTCCCACGCTCGAGTGGACCTCGCGATTTCAGATTCTATAAATTCGCATGTTGCTCCAAATCTAGGATTACTTCTCTAGATCTTCTTCTTAGGTTCTAGGGTTTATATTTGGAGATATTTCGCTAGTTTTCTTTGATGTTTTGATTGAGTATTCAACTCATGGTTTAAAAAGTATACATCAAAGGATTATTTATTTTGTTCTACACAAAAGAGAGAGTTGTTCCTCGGTGGATTCTGAAGAATTCGAGCCTAAAACTTTGGTGGATTCTAGATTGGCTCATCGTTAAGACAATTCCGATGTGAAGACGGGGTTGGAAGAGGCACATAGGGGTTGGTTCAATTCGGGCGTGGATTCGCTAGGTAATTGAGAGTATACCTGTGTAATTCCTTTATGTCTTTTTAGTGGATTGTTTTGTGGCTTTTGCCCGTGATTTTTTTTATCACAATTGGAGGTGTCCAATTGTGATTTTTTCACGTAAAATCGTTGTGTCGATTTGTCTTGATTGTTTGATTGGGATTGTTATATGCTGCTTAAAATTGATACATAATCACAAATCAACATCTAGGGAATTTCTAGATTTTTCAATTTTCTTCATCTTCATCATCAGATCTGGATTTCAAAATCAAAAAATAAAAGCAGAATGAAAAAATAAAAGCAGAATGAATTTTATTTTGATTTCAAAATCATCACCTATCACCGTTAATGGTTTTGGTTTTGATTTTGATTTTCTTCATCTTCATCATCCTCGCTTGTGATGCTTTTATCTTTATATTCATCAAATAAAGAAATCATAAAATTTAGATCAAAACCCAAAGCCCCAAATGAGAAATTCAATTTTATTTCCAATCCTAAACTACAATCATAATTCATGAACACCAAAAAATAGAAAGAGCTTTTACTGGGTTTCATCACTTCCTCATCCTCTTCATCTGCTTTACTAGGTTTCATCTTCAATTGAAGAAAATGGAAAGTCGGAGATTATATATATACATATAATGAAATCAAAGAAGATTATATATATATACATATATACATATATATAACCACAAATTATATACATTGAATTCCACTGGAAAGTTTACTAACTTGCTCCATTTCTTCTTTCTTTTTTCTGGATCTTCATTGAAACCAAAGAAGATTATATATATACATGAGAGGAGGACTTTTGTTTGATGATTTTACTCTCTTTTTATATATGTACATATGAGATGATATTGTTTACCCCTCTCGTGCTCTGGGCTACGCCCCCGAATTGGGGATACGAATTGATTGACTATTGAGTAGAAGTTCATTCAATTCCTCGTCCACCTGTTGGTAATGAATTCAGTCTACGGAAGTCGAATAGGGTTCTCTCGGAGTATGAATTTCTCTCTTCTGTGGTTTAATCCTTACCAACCACTGTGCGAATGGTATTCACTCGTATTCCTGTCAAGGGCCATAGAGTGGTAGGTCAACCAAATCACAATCAGCAAGGTGATCTCTTGAAATCAAGGACATGAAAAGCTGTGATGAAGGTCCACCAAATCACAATCATCTCATACATACATATGAGATGATTTTCCTTCTTTTCTCCATTTCTTTCTTCTTTTTTCTAGATCTTGCTCTTTCTTTCTTTGTTTCTTTCTCTAGATTGATGATTTTGTTTGATGATCAAGCATAATGATTTTAACTTCATTGTAAGGGTTATATATACAAGGGTAAATTGGTCTTTTTATGTCTGTCATTAACAGTGTTAACGGTGCACTTTATTCTATCAATCACAGGGGGTTATGTGGTGATATTCGAAAGTCAAGGGGGGTAATCAGCACATGGCCTAAACCATAAGGGGGTAAAGTGAAGTTTGCCCTAAAAAAAATGAGATTTTTAGGGAGAAGCCTTCTAGGAGTTCCTAACCCTTATTCTAAAATTATTGAATTTTTTTAATTTTAAATAATTAAGAAAATTCCTGTATTGACTAGCTTCCATTTACTTTCTATTTTACAATCCCACATCGGGAAATTGAAAGAAAAAGTAAATTATTTCACTTACATAAAGTGAATTTTATACTCTCATTTATATAAACAAAATGAGATTTTTA